AAAAGACAGCCAAGCTGTTACTCCTCTATAAGAAGAGCCGCGTGAGAGTGTGGGAAACGATGCGATTGAGCTGCCATGTAGCCTATACGAGTCATGTAATACGGGTACATGACAGGAAAACGCTGATCATTCCATGTTCGTCATAGGGCTCTAGAATAAGCTACAGGGTAATCTTTTCCCCAGCAAGGGACGTTTCTCCTAGGGATACGAGGTATTCAATCTCAAAGTTTTACTGTACTCCTCGCCCGAATCATGCCCCCGTACCGAATGAACAAGAACGGTATCGGAACCAAGGCCACAGCAATAAGACCCAACATGGTATTGCCCCACCCGTATCCCAACTGCGCATACATGTCCTCGCTACTTAATGGGATGAACGCAGCCGCAAGACTGCGCATCACCGTGCACGCCGCCATGGCGCTCGCCGCATAAACCGTGAACACGTCTACGAGATATGTCGTCGCGGGCATAAATGTCATCAAGAGACCAAACCCAAAGATACCCGTTGCGATGATTGGTACAATGTAGTGCACCTGGTATTGTACACTCCAGGCGTATATGAAGAGACTGATGGGGATGAACACACCTCCAATGCACATCATATACAGTCGATGTTCAGGGCAGAAGTCTCCGCGCGCCATATGCTTGTGTACAACCTTGTTGCCGTAGTGGATGTATGTGACTTGACCGATAAAGGAGCCAATGCCTAGTCCTAGAAATGAGAGACCGACTATTCCACCCGTCCAGCCGTATTGGTTGGTGAAGACGCTGGTGAAGGTCGTGAACATGATGTAGAGGAAGGCATATGTGATGGCAACATAAAGCGAGATTGCGAAGCAGATTGTTGAGCGGAACAACATCTTGGATGGCCGAATAATCGAGTATTTGAATAGTTCGCGCGAGGTTCGGCCAGTATCAAGTTTGGAGCGTAGCTTAGTGTTACCTGTCTCGGCTTTGAGGCGGTTCACTTTACGCTGGAGGATGATGATGGCAGAGGTTTCGCTCATGAATACGAACGACGCAATGACACATGCAGCACCCTGCAAAGTTAGTCAAGTTTAATAGCAGGCCCTGCGGAAACCTACCACTATGGCAACGAACCAGAAATTCCATCTGCACAAGCACTCTCATTAGCCCTTGGACAGCCTCAAAAAACGGATTTGTGAAAATCCCGACTTACCTCCAGCCCTTAGCGACAGTAAGGAAGCCTCCGATGATCGGTCCAACGCAAGGTCCAATAGCTGCCCTGATCGTCAGTTAGCACTCACATCATCAAATCTGCCTCACTCACTTGGTCCCATCATCCAAAAAGCCATCGCAGTACCACGCTGCTCCCTGGGTATCAGGTCCGCGATAGTTCCTCCTCCAAGCACCATTGGTGCTCCACCAAAGCACCCCATCAAAAACCGGAATACAACGAATTGGGCCATATTAGTAGCCAAGGCCGCCGCAACGGTGAACATGATGAATAAAAAGCTGCAACTGTGATACAACGGTAACCTCCCATACATCTCGGACAGCGGTGCAATGATCAAGGGCCCAAACGAAAATCCAAGCACATAGACCGACACCATAAAACCCTTGAGCATCCCACTTGTTGAGTGAAACTCGCGCATGATTTGTGGGACACCAGACACAAATTGTGAGCTTGCGAGTGGGACTAGGAAGGTGATGGCCGATACGATAGCTACCATACTCCATTTCTTCGACGCTTTCCAATTAATTGGGTCTTCTGGGTCGTTGGGGCCGTCAAAGTCGACGATGTTAGGATCGTTTTGTAATTCATCCTCTCGCTCGTCTTGGTCTGTGCACGATACTGAGTCGGGTTGGCCTTTCTCAACATCTGTATCAATGGTGTTCTGCTTCTCATATATCCGCCGCGAGGTCCCTGAGGTATGACTCGGCACTGGATGGATTGAGCCAAGTCTGTTGGGAATATTTGCATCATGACCTTCGGCTGCTGCGAGATCTATAATCTCGCTTCCGGTAGGGTGTTGATACAGTCCTGGTGACGACGGTTGTGACATGACGAAGCGTTGTGGTGGCTGAAGCTTCACCAAGAGTGTGTCACGTTGTTTTTCTTAATGTTTAGATGTCCGCAGAGCTGGAAGTTGCTCAAGTCAGTGTAGAATGGAAATGGTTAGAATCCTACCAGGCTAACCATGTTAAGGTAGGCTTTGTGTAGGCTTGACTCACGCCGGCAACGAGGACCTCGGCTGCCTTGACAAATCTGCGTAATCGGACGAAAAAAAGTGCACAACGACGGATTTAAGTGGTGCAGTCGATGGTAGAGAAAAAAGAAAGAGTCCATGCAGCTACCTAATTAAAGGCGGAAGGCACGATCAGATATGGTTACGTGCTTGCCATGTATGGAGAGGGGGTTATCATGTGTTCCGCTTGCGAAGATCATTTTTCTTAATTCCGCACTTCCTACAGCAGGGATATCTTTGCGTGTGGCTTGCGATCTGATGGAGATGTTGCGCATGCTGAGGGTTGCCAAGCCGGGTTGATTGAGCCAAACTTATGGAATATCTGCTCTAGATACCCCCGCGACATTGGAAACAAAACCTGTTCTTTTTCTAGGAGTTTACGTACTGCGATGTCAAAGGGAGAGCCTGCAGCGGTCACGGTGTGGAACTCTTGGAATGCCGGAAACCGTGCATAATTACACCCCACACCGGTTATCGCCACCTCGCCATCTCTGGCAGGTGTCGCTTGTAAAACATGCCGGTCTTATCATCGACCACCACCTGTCCAAGGAGGATACTGTATCGAAGAAAACCTGGGAGTCTCCAGAGCTCCTCCAAAGTTGGGGAAACCACGCTCTTCTCCATCTTTCTCCGCCATCTTCAGGTGCTTAGCAATCTGCGACAAATCCACTACGCGCGGCGGATCCACCATCGCTTCGCTACGCTAACCAGCTATTCAGAATCTCGAACATAGTGGTCCTAAGGGATCCCGGCGCTGCCTAGAACTTCGTACTCAACAAAGTCCGAGAGGGCAGGGAAGGAGGGTAGTAGTAGACGCCTGCGGAGAATGGCGGAATTAGCAGGTACGACCGAGTACGATAGAGGTACGTAGGAAGTATGATACAGCAGATGAATCCTAGTCATCTGGGCCTGCTCATTACAGTTGCAGTCATACTTCCGTTGTGACTTCCAAGCTTCCGTAATCTTGCCAAGTTCAGGTGTAATTGGTTGATGCACAGATTTAAATCCACCTAGAAGGGATCATCGCGACCAGGGAGCGTATTGCTGACAGACGCTATCCACACGACTCAGTACCAATATGCCTGCACCCGGGTGGCACAAAAAACACAACATACTAGTGTAAAAAGGTCACTGTAGTCGCCAGACACGCCTGTTAGGCGCTTACCTACCCTGTAAAGTATTTAATGACACCTAGGTGCCTACATTTCACTTCCCACAGTATAGCCTAACTATTGTAGTGGCTGAGAAATACAGTTTATTGGAATGATCGTTGAAAACGCATATACAGTTGACTTGATCTACCTAGGTAACTTTTCCCTGAAACTTCTGTATCGATATCCCATCGTAACGCCTTTTTTTAATAATGGCTAATGTACCGTCTGTTACAGCGCTGTGTACAGAAGCAGGCTCGTTTGCTCTTCTGTGGCTGTATGGTCTCGCCATTCGCTCTTCTTCATCATCCGATACCGGGCTGGCGCGGGTGCTGACTGGTACAGAGCATCCGACTTAGTTCTAGGGGCATAATCAGAAAAGTATCGCGAGCGATGGCTGTGCACAATGACGAATGTATAAGATGTAAGCCTCATTCTGCGGTGAGGACCCTTCCGACGATTGCCGCATGCTATGCCGTTGCAGATCATAGCATTCACGGTTGCCGTGCACGTGCCGCGGAAAAGACTTTTTCCGGGGTGAATTCCTGTCAAAGTCCTGGGGTAGGTGTGCCTTCGCTTCCGCGACGGAAAAGTCCGCCTCTTTTGCTCATCCTAAATCATGGTGCCATGCCGATAACTTGGCTGCGGTAACGGTTCTGCAATCTCATAATTGCCAAAAAAGTCCACGCTACTCTTCCTCCTCTCCTCCATTGCATCCTCCAGATCCCTACTAACGCAAATCTCCATTCCACCACTTTGCTCAGTGCCCTTGCGTTCAGTCGACATTTTGTAGCCCACACCTGCCGAAGAAACTGTGGCTGCCGAGCCAGGGCTGAGATATGTGCTAGTCGTTTTTGTCTTCTTCCCAGGTAGTTCGTTGTCTCCGAGTAAACCAAGCCAACGCAGCTCAGCACATCGTTTGAAAACTCCTTCGAGGTCGAAGAGGTCCTGCATTGAAAGGCTGTACATTTTTCCGGATCGGAATTTCCAGAAGAAGAGCACAGACAGCTCGATGGTTTCGACGTTTTGGAGTGACAAGGCGATATCATCCATTGCACATAGCAGATTCATTGTCATGCGGACCTGATCATTCAGCATCTTGTCTCTTCCTCCATTCTTGAGCGTTGTGTAGTTCCATTCGACGTAAAAGCGTATGTGCGTTACGTGCTTCAACATGGGCAACTTCAGGATGTGCTGTGAGAATTCAAAATATTCATTGTTCGTTGGGGTGTTTCGTAGTTCGGCATGTAGTTTGAGCTTGCTGCGGCTGAAGTAATTTTCCATCAGCTCTGCGCGTATTTGCTTGTTGATGAGAAGTAGTTCTGGTTGCAGTCGCGATGGCTTGGCTACCGAGGGCCCATAGCCGAAGATGTCATGTCTCCAGGGCTCTCCATTTGACATTTCCGCTCCCCACAGGCATGTGTGAAGTTCCGGACGATTAATCCTGGTGTCGGGTAACACATAGTCAAATATCTGGTCGCGAATTTCCCTTGGAAGAGCCAGAAGTGGTGAGCTGAAGGTGCTGGGCGTGAGTTCGAGGAGTATTTCTAGTTCCCGGAACAGCATGCTCTGGCGGTGCTTGCATTGGCCATCGGAACTCCGATTCGAAGCCACAGAGAGCGTGTTGCTCGTTCGCTGAATGGTCGCCATGTGTTTTGGTAGCAGGGTTGATGTGCAAGGAATGGGGTTTAGTTCCCGTGTGCCCAGGTGTGGAATGTTGAGGCAGCTTTTCCGGGAGAATCTAGGACATTAGAATGAGAAAATAGGCGCTGAAAACAACCTTGGCTCAGCGAACATCTACCGCAGGACGTTTCGAGAGAAAGGGGACACTCTGCGACGCCATTGTCGTGCGAACGGCGCCGAGTCATGTTTGAGTGCTGCTCCGCCGCTGCTTTGCGCCGCAAGGGTCGGTTGGCGGACCCGTGCGCCGTTGGAAAAGTGGAGATGTGTACCACGTGTCAGACGGCACGCGAGATCTAGCCGGCTGTACCACGTTTCAGCTTGGCGCTTCAAACCTCCTGCATCTTCGGCTGTCTTGTACCTTCAGAATCTCAAACGCGGGGGACAGGAGACAAGCATGATGTTTCCCGTCCGCGGATGGCCACGGGTCAAGTCGCCTTGTCCTATGTAGTGCGTTATGTCGTGGGCAGAAGATCCTCTTGCGGGAATAAACCCAAGGGTAGCGTGATAAAGCCCCCCTGGTGTGTGCGTGGAGATAAGCTGACGTTGTACGTATATTTAGCCAGTACCGAGACACAGCCTCACATCATGCTGTATGCTGAGCATAGCTTGGTTCCATATGTTCTCTTTCTCTCTATATTTTTAGAAAAAGAAAGGGGGGGAAAAGAAAAGAGAACGCAAAACTAGGAAACACTGTGCGTCCTTTGAATGTAGGGGTATCACAAAATATAAAGCAAATTCCTGATACATGACTCAGGCATCATCCATCAGCCGCGTATCAAAACACTGGCAGTCCGCAATGCTGCCACCAGGCCTGCGTCCGCTCAGCAGGGTTGGGCATCTCCAAGCGATATCCATGTCTGAGCACTGAAACAGCAAGTTCCATATCCTTTCCATTGTATACCCAAAGAATGGCTGGCTCATCGAGTCTTGTCGGCCTTGTAGATAGGGCTCGTTGTGTGCCCAACTGTTCTCGTCGACGAGGAGCTGCCGAAGATCGTCGTAGATGGCTTTATCGATGCCTCGTATGCGTGCGGCGCTAACGACGAATTGACCTTTGTAGCTGAGGAGGAATCGATCGCGCGTGGAATGGTCTATCCGCGACTGGATCTCCGGAAACAGGGATGTCTCGTCCTGCCAGCCATATCTATCACCGCAATTGTCGGCGTTGCATATCTTGCCTACCCAACCTAAGTTGAGAAAGCCTGTTTGGTTTGTGCGGAAATATTGTTCGAAGAACGGGTAGAACTCGCGTGGGTTATGTACGTCGGCTTGGAGAAACACGGTGCGTTCTGCTAGGCTGTCCCATCGACTGACGATGTGGTTGAGATACGTTTCGGCTTCTCGTCCTACGTTTGGAAGCTTGATGACTTCCTGCGCATTTGTTTCTTGCTTAATCTTTTGTTCATCAGCCTCGGAATCCTTCAGATAGATGGTAACATGAGCGTCAGCCATTTGAGGCATGCTCTCCAAGTTCGATATGAGCGTTGCGACTTCTTCCGTTCGTTCCTTGTACATGCTGATTACCACCTCCAGCGGATTAATAGTCTGATATTTCAGATCAAGCAGGGGTTCTGCTCGAGGATATTGTCGTTGCCCGAAGTTGAAGCTTACAAATGCTGTCCAAAGTATGATCAAGACTACGCTGCTCATGGACGAACGAAGTCCTTGACTTTCGAAATCTCCTCGTGTTTGCAAGTCCACGAGGTTTGGCTCTTCCCTGCTATCTGATGGTAACGCAGAAGAGTCTGCGACAAGACTGTAGCCCTCGTGGGTGTCCTTGTAGCCCCTAGGTCGGCTCCAGATAACGTCGTATATGTCGTTGCCACTGACGCACAAGATTGCGAGTAGAAAACAACACAACTGGTACCAACTGGTGTATGAGCGACGTAACGTCAGTGCCGAATAGCAGCCGATGATAGCTGTCATCATTAGAAGTGCCGATACGTTGTGCAAACGCCGTATTGCTGTAAGACCAGCCCCTGGTAGCTGGTTGTCGGACTGTGTCCCCGATGGAAAGAGTACCGAGCCTCCAATCAGCATTGCTCCTGCCGTTGAGAAGGCGTTGAGAAGGAGTAGGAGTAGGTTGCAGACTTGCTATCAGTCAGGTAACTCAGTTCGAACTGACTGAACTGACTGCCAGAGATGTCAACAAGCAAGTCAAGCTGGCTTGATTCTTATCGATTGCAGATCACAGACCATTCTCTGGGACGTGCCACTGTGCACGAGCCTCTATATTGTCTGTGATCTGCAATCGATAAGAATCAAGCCAGCTTGACTTGCTTGTTGACATCTCTGCTGACTGCCAAGACTCAGTTCAGTCAGTCAGTTCTTGAGGCAGCTGGACGTCAGTCCAGTCAGTTCAGAAGCCTCCAGACTGACTGAACTGACTGACGTTAGACTGACGTTAGCTGTTTTTAAAGCAGTATTTTAGAGTTGTGAAAGCCACATTTAGTGCGGCTTCGAAGCCGCGCTAGTCCTAGATATAAAGACACTAATCCTATATAAGTTAAAGCATCTAGCTTTAAGCTAATTAGAGTTTGCGGAAATGCGCTACCCGGTGCGCACCTAGTAAGCCTTTCGCGTCGCGTCGCGTCGCGTCTGCTATACACACGACGCTAGACTACTGTTGCCATAATACTTCTTGGTGTACTTCATGTCTACTCCCTCTAATTCAGGCCTTCGCCGCCTTGTAGAATGCGACAAGCGCAATTCTCCTCTACCATCGCTATCAAACGCGCCTACTGTTGGCGATACTGCGAGCGAGGCCCAGGCTGATGAGCCCTTGGCAGTACAGGCGGACTTCCCCAACGACGGCGACGACGACGACGACGACGACAATTACGACGGGCTTGATTTTAAGCGTGTGCCGTATCTTGAGCGGCGCCAGGTTGAGCGTAATAGTCGCGGTGGGCCAAAAAGCTGGATCTACCGCCACGGCTGGGCCGTCTGGCACCGCAAGTACAAGAAAAACTACTGGCTTTGCCGGTACTGCCATCAACGACGGAAGCAGGAGGCTTGCTACGAGGCTGACAGCACTACAAACGCCGGCCGACACCTCTCAAGCAACAAGCCTGGACACTCACACGGACCTAACGGACCTGTACCAATTGCTAGCCGGGAGGGCAATATTATGGGCGCGCTCGCAAAGTCCCAAGTATATATTATGAGGTCTAAAGGGATAGAAGTATCGCAAGAGGTAGCAAACGAGATAGCAGCAAGCTTTTCAACCTCTCGATTTCAGGACGCGCTGAAGGACTGGGTAGTCGCGGACAACCAGAGCCTTCGCGTAATAGAAACGCCGCAGTTTCGAGCCATGATTGCGGCCGTGAGCCCGCTAGCCGAAGCTCTCCTTTGGCGTAGCCACTAAACGCTCCACGATCATATTATTACTGAGTACAATACATACATACTAGCTGTTGCCAACTACCTTCGCGAAGCCCGGTCGCTTATACACGTGTCATTCGACAACTGGACTTCAACTGGTGGGCAGTATGCTTTTACTGGCCTCTGCGTACATTACCTTAACAGCGAGGGCAAGCTAGTTGACCACCTGCTTGGGTTGCCTGAGCTACACGGGGCGCACACTGGCAATAATATTGCCGCTGCAGCAACAACAATATTTCGGCTATTTGGCGTTGACAACGCGAGGGTTGGGTACTTTGTGCTTGACAACGCAAGTAACAATGATACTGCAGTTGAGTCCTTAGCAGAGGAGTTTGGCTTTATCGCAAGCGAGCGGCGGCTGCGGTGCTGCTGCCATATACTCAACCTAAGCGCACAATTAGTAATTTGGGGCAAAGACCGTAGCGCGTACGAGAATGAAGCCGCACACCTTGAGGAAGAGGAGAAGTACATGGATGAGTGGCGCAAATACGGTCCTGTTGGCGTCCTCTTTGACGTGATTGCGTCTATCTGTACGCCTCAAACTCGACAACTACTAGAGCGCCTACAGTGCGAGGAGGCAGAGTCTCTAGGTGTTACACCCCACATCCGGCAGCTTGTGAAGCCTGTTAAGACACGCTGGAATAGCTATTTCAACACGTTTGTCCGTGCAGCTGAGCTACACGGCCCTATCGATGGCTATATTGAGTGTAAACTTGAGGAGCATAGTGCTGCAACAGCAACCTCACGACGCCGGAAGAATCGTGAGCAGCTCCCTGCTGCCCAGCCACGGTTATATATACGTGAAGGGGGTCTAAGCGGCAAGGACTGGGCGACAATAACAGAATACATTCGACTCCTTGAGCCATTTGCCGAAGCTACACGGCTACTTGAAGGTCGCGGCCGACACGGCCGACACGGCGCTATATGGGAAGTTCTAGTAACGTTTGAGTGGCTTCTTGACCAGCTTGAGGCTCTCAAAGACCGCCTTAAGGATGTAAATTACGAAGATCTAGATGCGCCTGAAGATCATCTTATTACAAACGTTAACCTTGCGCATTGTAAGCTTGCTGAGTACTACGCAAAATTCGATAACGCGCCTGTCTACTACACTGCTACAATACTACACCCGCACTACAAACACCACCTCTCAGCGCTCTGGAAGGTGCCTGACACCCATGTCACTGCCCGTGACGGTGTCCACTATCGCGACGGCTGGCTTGACAATAACCACCGGGCATTCCTGCGTATGTGGCAGGGGCGGAAGGACTCTGCAGCCACTTCAGCTCACACTGTAACGCCGCCGCGTAAGAAGCCCCGGCTAGGGATTTCAACGTCGCGATCAGCTTTTCTACAGTCGTCAATTGAGCAAAGCACACGGCAGTTAGAGGCAAGCCTTGCTGAGGATGAGTATGAGATATGGAAGCGGCAACCAGCGTTAGCTGAGGAGGATTGGCTGTCTCTTAATCCGCTTCTATACTGGGAGTCAGTTGCTGGGCAGTTCCCTATACTCTCAAAGTTCGCTATTGACGTCCTAACAATACCAGCAGCAGCGGCAGACTGTGAGCGGACTTTCAGCGAGCTTGGCGACATGTTAGGCACCCGGAGACTCCATATGAAGCCAGAGCTTATTTCAGCTTTGCAGAGCTTGAAGAGCTGGAAGAGGCTTGGTATACAGCCAACAACTACCTCAGCTTCTGGGCTAGCGCGCACACTATCAGAGGAAGAAATCTCAAAAGTACAGGAGCATTTATCTCAGTTCGACGTCAGGTAACTCAGTTCAGTCAGTCCAGTCAGTCCGCAGGCCGCGGCGACGTCAGTTCAGTCAGTCAGTTTTAGTTTAATTGAAAAGTCTTGGCAGTCAGTCCAGTCCAGTTCAGTGACCTCAGGACGTCAGTTCAGTCAGTCCAGAGAGCTCCGGACTGACTGAACTGACTGATAGCAACTCTGGTAGGTTGTCCGTGTCGAATGCGCTCCAACACTCACTGGGCAAGCCGATAACTACAGAAACCACAGTGACCAAAGCACCCATACCAACTATCCAAGCTGCAGCCATGCCTTGCCTAGGCATATCGCCAGGATAGTGTTTGGTAGCGACTTTGCTCAGCGCACCCGCCGTACCGACCGAGAGCATTGCGAGGACCGATGCCACCAAGCTGGGCACCAACAGTCGATAGTCCATGAACATAATCCCGGCACAAGCCGGAAGTAGCGAACCAATGCGGAGAGTATCTGTGACTGAGCGAGCTTTGTAGCCAAGCACATGAAGTGTCAGGCTTTCAGCGAAAAAAGCTATCGTCTGGTGGGGTTCCAAAGTCAGCATTGAATTCTTCGAAAGGATCCAGGTGAACTTACGGCCATCATACATAGTAGTGGCAGGTTTGCGGTATGCAGCACCGATTGCACGATACAGAACGCTGAAAGCGCCTGTAAGCAGTGTGAAGCGGCTACTAACAGTGTGCCTCGAACCGAACGTTCGCTTCTTTGCTTTTGCTGGCTTCTTCCCTGGACATTCTGTCGCCACAGGTAGAGACCTAGAGCGACTAACCCTGTGGCTACAGTCTGACTAATGTATAATATCAAGGGGGAGTGGAAGTTCCTTTCAACCAGCAGGTACCTTGATGTCAACAGCGAAGTTGTAGCAGATAACAACCAGACTAGCTGGCGATGGTCTTGGAGCAACTCATATACATTCCGCCGAGGAGTTGACATTATTCGCATAGAATTGGTGTGTTCGAGGTGATGATCCGCAGCCATGGCGTTGGAAGTGTGAGAAACTGGTTGTTTCTGAGAAGAAGATTGACAGGGAGGAGAACAGGTTGCCAAAACTCGATATCCAGATTTGTTTTTGGGCGCCTGAAGAGCTGCAGACAATGCGCCATTGCCGACATTGAGCAGATATTCATCTAAGGCGTACAGCGTAACGACCCTAGACCCACATACGCACAGGCGGACTTGACCCTATATGGGAATTTTTGCGATCTCGAAAAGAACCGTTGAGGTTTGTGGGTAGTTAAAGGTAATTGCTCGAGAGCATGCATCACACAAACTTAAGGAAACCTTAACAGGCTGTAGAGGGGAAGGGAGGGGGAGACGTTAACGACCACCCCCATATCAGGGAGACAACCACCCCCATAAGCCCAAAACGGCAATAGCGTCGATAATCTATTCCGCCATCGGTGTAGGATCTACACCAAAACTAGATGTTTTGAAAATCTAGGCTGCTGACAGAAACTTCTAAAGACTAAAGTAGCCTATCTCTATCTCTACTTAGCTCCAGGTATCATCAAAACAGCTCAAAAAGCCGAAAATTTAAGAGACTTAGATTTTTCAATACATCTAATTTTGGTGTAGCTCCTATACTAATACGATGGCACAACGTATCGCCAGCACTATCACGTGTTAGGCTTATAGGGGTGGTCATTTCCTTGAGATGAGGGTGTGGTCGTTACCGTCTCCCAAGGGAGGGGAACTGGTTTTGTTGCATATCAGATGTGACGGAAGAATAGCCGGATGCCAAACCACAATGGTTTAACACCCTGCTAATTACTATAGTGATTGGATGATATCGCAACGCATAGGTCTCAGAATGTGCGTCTAGTTGAGCGCGGGCTCCATCACGAACGCTCGCCAAAGAGATGGACGTGTATGCCTTGCACAAGGCTGACTAAATTGGTAGTGTATTATAATATCGCGGCTACGTTATGCCAAGTATGCAGTCCATGTCGATCAATGGGTGCCCTATGTGGCAATCTCAGGCAGTGTGTGTCCCATACACTAACTTGGCGCCTAGGTACTTCCATGCAGTCGCCTTGATCCAATGTTAATGATGTACCACTTTCTCTACCTACTCTTAATCGTTCGCATAGAAGACGAAAACATTACCCTTGATAATTACATCAATTATATCGTGAGCAATATGAAGAGGAATTGTGGATCGAGAGCCCACATACTGCCAAGCGATGGGACAAGGAGTCGCGTCCTGCCCAAATTAGCCTTCGACCGCCTAGTTGCGAAACAGGCTTCTACTCAACACATAGCCACGATCCCAATACCAGTGCGCATGATGTGTGCCAAGGGAGGCGCAGCCGTTTATGATGGGACGGCAGCGTGTATAACATCCTTAAGGGCGAGGTAGCGTACAACGCTCTTGGCATGCGACGTTAATTTAACCTCACAACGATCTCACCTATGTAAGCAACATACCTACAGCTTACATGTTGATCGTCTCCTAAATGTGAGTAAGGGATCGCGTTCATGAGAAAGGCCATCTAAGCCTCCACAGCCCCAGTTTTGCACTACACAAGTTGCTTCGTCGGGCGTCTAGTGCTTGAATTAGACCGACTCGGGTCCGTTAACTAAGGCGAGCTCGACGTCAGGGTCTTTTAAAGTTGAGGCGGGGACCGTGCATATCGTGAACAAATTGTGATTTAAACTGCTTCCTGGATCCGTTTTGTGAGTCTTTAGGTGGTTGCCCTACTTGCTTGCCAGTGAGGCCGCTACTAGAGTGGGCTGTTCGCTGGACGTCATCTTCAACCGCTACTGGAGTATCAGGGCAACCTTGGAACAATCCCAATATTACAAGGATGATGACGCCACCAGACCCAACATTATGGGAATCCAAATCACGATACCTTTTCGGATTTGTGTGTCAGTTGTGGCGCAAAGTAAGTTATTGATCTATACTCGGGTCTTCTTGGGTATAGCCTATCGCAGCATACGTGCCTGCCCCACCCAAACGTCATTGAAACCTAGCAAGCTACTGAAGCATTCTTAGAATATACACATGGTCTATTAGGCTATAGTTAAGAAGAAATATTTACAAGTTCATTAGTCTATGTTGAGGTTTATAGCTAGTTGCCGATGACGCCTTGGTCAGCGTTCACAGCACCAGGCACATTCTGAATGACAGGGTACGCCGGTAGGTACGGCTCATACACCTTCTTGCACTTGGCGTTGAAGTCTGCCGTGTTGCCAACCTCGACAGTGAGTTCGTTGCCAGGAACGCCCAGCTTACCTATTGGACCGCTGCTGGGCGTGGCCTTATCCCACCCAGGACCCGCGGTGGGGTTCTTGATCCAGGATACAAACCAGTCGTTCTGGTAGTCAGCCAGCGCCTGCTCCTCGGCTGTCACATCGGAAAGTCCTGCAAAGACCTCGTTACCACCGAAAAAGAATGGAATCTCGGCACCGTGGGTGGGATGGTCCACAGGAAGGGGCAGGACATTGGCGTAGGGGGCGAAGAAGCGGTAGATCCAAGTGTTCTGCTTCGTGCTGCGCATGTTGAGGAGATAGTCAACAGGGCAGAAGAAGCGTGCATCGCCGTACTGGGCACCGCTCATGGCAGAGACGCTGGAGTAGTCGGAGACGCTGTACGCAGCCTTGAGAACATCATCTGGGACATTGGCAACATCGGCGTCGAAGGTGTTGATCCAGGTGTCGAAGTCAGTGTTCTCGCTACCATAAACCAGGCCAAACAAGGCACCCTCCTTGTCGGAGTTACCCGTCAGGAGAGGAACGTGTGAGGCGTACTTGCCGGCCTTGAAGCGCGCGGCGTAGTCCCTGTAACGCGTCTTCTCATCAATGACAGGTGTAAAGTACGTGTTGAGGGTGGCATTGAAGGCAGTGGTTTGGAAAGCATAGACGTCAACCTTGCGCATGCACGCCAGTTGGCCTTTGCCAGTTGGGCAGCCAACTTCCTTAGCGACGAGGTCGAGCGCCTGGTTGACTGGACCGACAGCCGGACCAGACTTTGCGTTCGCGGCCATCTCGACAGCACCGACGAGCCATGTGTCAGGGTGGTTCCACAGGTAATGATCAACCTGAACGGATCCGGAGGAGTGGCCTCCAAAAACGACATGGTTAGGGTTACCGCCGAACTGGGCGATGTTGTCACGGACCCATTGCAGGGCCATGTCGACATCGAGGATACCAAAGTTTTGCGATCCTGCTCCACCAGCAAGCTCGGCAGAGTTGGGGTACGCCCACAAGCTTTCACGTGTATTGAAGCTGACAAAGATGATACCCTTGTTGGCAAAGTTTGTGCCTACGTACTGGGGGTTGCTGCTCGAACCAGTCACCATGGCACCGCCGTACATGTACACGAAAACTGGAAGTCCAGCATCGTTCGGTGCACCCGGACCTGCTGGAGGATTAGGATGGTTTGGGGGGTTTGGAGGGGGCGGTGGCGCCCGTGGGCACTTGCTGGTTGAAGATGGGACCCAAATGTTGAGGTTCAAGCAGTCTTCGTTCTGCTGCGAAAATGTGGTACCCGAGATTGCTTGTGGGCATGTTGCACCGTATTTTGTCGCGTCAACGACTTGTCCCTTTTTGAACTTTTTGGCAATCGGAGCTTTCCATCTATACGGGTTGTTAGTGCAAGGCATCATATCACAGACGCGACAGGGCCGTACCTGTTCTCACCACCAGTAGTCTCCGCGAATGGGATTCCGAGGAAGACGGAATTCCCATGTGTATCGGCGAAGCCCTTGACAGTGGCAGCTTGGAGATTTGCCGTAGCATCGACTATCTGCCTAGCAGGTTTCGAAGGCAGGGGTGTCCCGCCCACGACAGCCACCTCCCCGAAGAGGATGGCTAGTGAAAGGGTCTGTAAGCCGCATGTGAGAGCTGACGGGATCTTCATGATGCAAAGACAGGGAGTTGGGCTGATGGATGAAGATAGAGTTTGGCCGCAAGCTGTAGATCATGTAATGGGCTGTCACACGGTTATATGTATAGCCCTCCTGGCCGGCGTACCCACAGCGTGGTAGTCCTTCTTACCGCCAATTGGCAGGGACCGACATCTTCGCAGACAAGTGCCGAAGATATGCCAGACAATAGTGTGATGGAACTGGGGAGAATCTTTTCATCTCCGTGGCTGCAGGCGTCATGCCGTCCTAGGACGAACCTAGATGCATCGAATCGTGAGCCGTGGATCCGGCATTCTAAGCGAATCGTACCAACCGCCTTCGCTTCACCCTTCCCTTGCTGGGATTCGGCCGATGAAGCCAAAATGCCGGGCTACCCAGCAAGTCTGGGAACACTTGTAAAACCCTTTCCGCCACATGCGCAGGGTCTTTGCAGGAATCTCGCTTCTCTGCCGTGCATCGTATACAATTGCCATGTGCCCAGACGCATCCGCCTTTCGGTCCGAGCGTCCGAGCCCGCCTGACGAGAGTTGAGGGTTTTAGCAGCACGCCGGTGAAGATAGTATCGAATAGACGACCAGACCAGCAGGAAGAGGCTGTTCGTTACCACTCGCTACCAAGGTTCGACCTCATGTCGTGCCTTGCCATGTGGGGGCCGACGTTCGCCACGTTGTCGGGATCAGCGAGCCGATGCCGAAGTATCCATTCATGCCATTTCTTCGTGGATTCCACATGGGTTCCATGGAGCCCCAGCTCCGTGTGTTCTAACCTGTAGCAAATGGCGGCCGCGAGGTGGCTGCGCGAACAGTTTCGTGTGCAGGTTTAGGTATGGCTTTCCCTACGCTTGCGAACTTCGCGTTAGAAGAAAGCACACAGTCGGGCCTTGTTCTTTTCATCCATGGAATATCCGCCTCGCCATCTACCTCAGGGGGTTCGTCAGTGGAGATATGATAAGATTGAAGCTTGTCGCGGAAACCCCACTGTCAATCATTTGTAGCCCTCGTCCTTGCGCACTTTGCACTCCTAGCAGTCACTCCGGCACTCTTTCACCGGCGAGTGTGGACTGTGTGGAGCTCTATCGAACACATCCCGGCTCTATTTCGGGTCCTGCCAGGAGTCACACACGCAGTCAGCAACATGGTAGACACGGAGCTTGGCCAAGTGGTACGTTCGTCTTGTTTGCTTTTTGATCGACAACCAAGTGGAGGCTCATGCAATTCAACAGGTATCATGGTATGTCTGTACCGTGGCCACGGTACCCTTCGTTGCCCTGCGCATGTACACACGATGGAAGAGAATAGGCAACCTAGGGATTGACGATTTCCTCGTCCTCATCGCAGTCTCATGTCTGGTTGGTGATCTAGTCATTCAGCAGCACATGTGGAATCTAGGATTGGGAGACATGTCCCAAGTTACTCCAGAAAACTTCAAAGGCATAATGCAGATGATTATCCCCGGATCAACCCTCTACGTCACATCGCTTTGGGCCATCAAGTTCGCCCTCGTCGTCTTCTACAAGAGTCTTGCAGCACCAGGATCGCGACTCGTAGTCGTGTATAATGTTGCACTGGCTGGCCTGGCCGTCACATACCTCATCATCTTCTTCGATATCATGTTCCAGTGTTTTCCGCACGACAAGCGATGGTCGCACGATCCCCATTGTGAGCATACCTGGTCGCGCATTGAAAACATGCATTCTGACCTTGTGCAGATCAGTGCAGCCAAAAAGCCTCTGACATCAACTATTGGATCACCATCTTCTGTATGTTGAGCTGTACCTGCATTGCGCATGTGGCATACGCTAAACGAACCAGTCAACATCTTCACCGACGTCATCATCATCTGCCTGCCCATCACAATGGTCTCGCGACTTCAAATGAAGCTCAAGCAAAAGATTGGCGTGGGCGCAATCTTTGCGTTGGGCTTCTTCGTCGTCATTGCCAGCAGTACGTTGTCTGATCTCCAACATGGGTTTCCGCATGCTGACCAGCCTCCCCAGTCGTCCGCGCCTACTACTCCAAGAGGAATGAAACGATGCTAACCTGCACCGTCTCGATGATCGAAACGGCAATTGCCATCATCGCGACATGCCTCCCTGCCCTGCGGTCCATGATTCTCGGCACAAACTCCACAAAAGCCAGCTCAAACAGCTACGGTCGCCACTACGAGCTCTCTTCTGCGCGCCGCAAGGCCAACGAGAACCGCCACAACGCATCCACACATGTGAGCAGTGGAAATATGCCCTCGACGCACAATCGCGCAAATGGCTCAGAAGACTCACTCTTCTCCGACCGTGGGCTGGAGGAACTCGGTGTCATCGCGCACCCTCCAGCTACTGCCGGAAAGATAACAGTAAATACGCAAATCCAAACCAAGTTCGAAGAGGACGCGCATAGTAACTCTGGAAGTTCAAAAGCGACAAAGTCCCCTTTCTAATGAAAGTTAATAGAGGAAGATAATTGAGAAAAACAAAGTAGAACATTGAGTGACCATTGTCGGAAGAAGGGCGAGGCTGGACTTTATGTACCCACCGGCCATTTCCATCTATATATACTTATACCCACGCAAATGTCGCAGCGCAAATGACCAAAAATATGATAATGAAATTCTAAACAGGCAATTCCTCCCCTTCGGTGACCGATACGAACGTGAACCCATGCATGATAGTGATAAAATCCCACGCCGAACATGCCGGGGGTGCCGGGGCAAGTCCCGCGGACCACTTAGAACCCAGCAGTATAGGGCAGACGGTAAACTTGCCTGAACAGCGGTGTGCGGCACCTGCATGGATGGTATGAGGCTGAGCTAGGACTGTGGGTGGCCTCGGGTTACTTGCACGCCATGCATGTTTCTATTAGAGCGTTATCTTGGCCTGAATACCACAGGGGGTAGGCATTTGATACTGAGACGCGAACGGTGATTGTGATTGCAATTTTGGTAACGGGGATATGGGCACGTTACTACTTTGCACAAACTGCACCAAAAGAAGCTGTTAAAGCCGCTTATCGGTTTTATACATAGAGCACGGCTTTATGTATCAAGCCATCAGCGTCACCGTCCTCTGGAGGAACATGCCTTCCATGGCATGAACATAATTTCAGTAAATAACACTACCTATTCTTACTTTCGTAAAGCGCTGCTAAACTGAATACCACATCGAGTACCCTCGCACTAGATATCCAATCCAATGCAACAGACCCGCATACCAGAACTCCATTAACTCCCCTTCCCACTACCTGTTATATTTCATAGCTAGAGGATTATTTCAAGTAGGTCGCCTGAAAGGATGTGCCTCGGTGTTCAACACCCACTCATCCAAGCTGATCACGTCCTCCTCCGCAAAGAGCAAGTAAAAGTACTTTAGTGTCTCTGCAAGCCAGAAGCTCTCCATTTCATCATTGAGCCCTGGCGCCATCTTGGTAACGTCGTCGATGGCTGAGTTACCATATGTGGTCGAGGTATGTCGATCGATGGCGAGGAACATGCGCCAGCCTGCTTCGCGCCAGTGGTTGTCACCAGTGATGCGGTACATGTACCACACAGATTCTATGGCTTCGGGGCTATAGTATTGTTAGCTTCAAATCGCATACCAAACACAAGACGATAGGCTTACCGGAGAATATAGTTCTTAGCCCCAATTCTAGTCACTCCCTTTGGCAGTCGGTCCTCTACGATCCGAGTGTGAACATACTCCTTATGGTCGAGGACGGGGGCCGGTGAGAAAACATAAGGGAAATCTGGCATTGTCCGGCTCGGCTGCGGCGCAAGTTCCGGAATGTCAAGCGTGGGTTGGACTTTAGTAGGCGGCCCCTCTCCTTCCTCAGATTCGCCGCCCATGACTGAATCATGATTTTGCGATGGCCTCGCGGGGGGCATGTGCGCAATCTCCGAATCGTCAACGAGCTCGGCAAGTTGGCGCTTTTCGTAATTGTCTGCATATACCAAAGAAGCTGTGGGGCGTGCCTCAGTTGGAGCATTCGCGACAGGCTTAGGTGCTGGAGTCTTTGCAGCCATCTGTGCATTGTACCATGACGAAGCAGAGGCAATCTGTGATTCGTATATCTTGCGCTGTTCGCTGTAATGTTCCATTCGGGACTCCCATCGCGGGTCAATGGCCTCCCAATAGGCCGTTTCATTCCATGCGCAATCCTTCATGTCCTCACAGGGAGCGACTTCGAAAGACTCCGGCATGATACCAGTCTGCGTCATGTCGTAACTCCAGATGCAACCCTCTGTCAGTTTCTTCGCTATTTCAAGATCCTCTGGGCGGTTGAATATCTTCGCGCCCATGCCAAACATGCCACCGGTAAAACAGGTGAGATGCGCATTTTCCGGAGTCAGGTCACCAAACTTATCCGTATCGTAAAGAGCGGGAACTCGAAGTTTGCCAGAGAACAACACGTCTTCTCCCTTGGGAAGCATTGGTCGGAAAAGCAGATGCTTCTTGACTGCATCCATCGACTGCTCGTACATGGTCTGGTACTTGTCGACCTGGCCGCCGAGGAGCAGATACTGTTTGGGTAGATACTCATATGTAGAGTCTGACATACCACCAAGCGTAAATTCATCACCTCCTCCGTAGCTTGAGCTCGATACAAAGCCTTGAGGTATGCACTCCGGATCAAGAGGCTTGGGTGGCGATGGATCCGGGTCAGCACTCTTAGCACCCAGCGCAGCTTTAGGTTCTTTGGATTGATCAATATTAAGCCGTCGCTTTTCCACTGGCTTGCTGTCCCAGTTCTTGATCTGTGCCTTTCCGGCGGTCCCTTGTTTTATCCACTCCTCCTTTGTGCCCGGACGGACTACATCATCATCCTGATAGAGCCTCACCGGGTCTGGCAAATTCAAAGGCTCATACTTCTTGGAAGCCACACCACTTTCTTGATAGAGTCTAACAGGTTCTGGCAAGTCCAAGGGGACATACTTTTTACCCTCTGGAGACAGCTCTTCGGTAGAAGTGGTTTTAGCCGCCTCAGACTCGCTCGGCACTGGATCGGCAAGGTATCCGTCTGGGGCTGTAAGGGGTTCCTGCGCACCCATTTCCGTGTATCTTCTGCCACAGCCGGAGGCATCTATATATACGGGCCACATTCCTGGGACCAGGGTCTTGTCCTGAAGCTCCTCGAGGTTGTCAGTGATGCGCGCAACAGCGTCGTAGTACTTGTGCTCTCCCGTAAGCTGTGCAAGCCTGGTAAATTCGACTGAAAGCGACCCGATCTCTGCTAGAACAACATTGGTACCGGCACGATGATGCTGCGATGCAAAATCGGGCCTCCAGTAGTAATAGGTTTCCGGCATCCGATTGGGCGTATCGAAGGCGCTGATTAGGACCTCGGCAAGCTCAACCGCCTTGTCCAGCAAGTTCTTGTACTTCTTCCCGCTGAGATCATAGGCAGCCAGCAGTCCGCCGAGGTAGCGAATTGTAGTCTCAAATAAGGGGATATCGGCGCGTGTGGTAGTCGTAAAGTCAATTTGGTCCACTGCTTTGACAGCCTCTTCAAAGTCCTCTTTCAACCCCATGATCCACAAGGTGTCTAGAGAGTCGACCAAAGTTGCGCCCCAGTGTGCAAAGGGGTCCCGAAAGGTTCCAGACTCTGGGCGCAGTTCATCATGGAGCCATGCCTTGGCCCTGTATCCGTCCCATGACTTCTTGGCCACGCTCTGAATTCTGGCCAGTTTTGCGATTCTGTCAGACTTGGTCGCCTCATCCTCCTTCTTGAACTTGGCTTGTATTTTCGGGATCGCTTTTGGCTTGCCCGAGGGCAATTTGATGAGCGATTCGGTGGGAACAGGAAACTTCTCGGGCAGTTTTGTCCAGTGAACGGCTTCGATCTCGGCCGACGATTCCAGTCCGTCTTCGTCGATGGCGGCGTTGCCGTGTGGGTTCGGACGTATGGGCGAGGGTATGGACGGCTTCTGTTGCGTTACAGCTGGAGCGGGTGTGGATGAAGGAAGACTCTTGACCGGAGGCGGTGTCTGTACGGGTCCCGAAGTACTAGCAGCGGGCACATGCAGCTTCAGACTCTTGGTCTCGTGGTCTACGGCAGGTCGTGGCTTGGTGTCGTGCAGCACCCCCTCGGCGGTGCTCTTCAGGCCATGTGCTGCCCCCACTGCTTGCGATGCAGCCTCTCTCCATGCTGCATCCGAACCTCCGAATTTGTAAATTGCTAGTACGGCAATAACAGCAAAGACTAGAAATGCGCGGTATCGTCGATAGCGAAACATGTCGAAAGCTGTGCGGTGGGATCGGAAGGAAAGGGTTGCGCGCGCTGAATGCGATCAACTCAGGGTCTCGCGTAAGGAATACTCGGCGTCGTTATGTCATTACTACCATTGGTACCACTGAGCGTAAGGAAAGAGTCTCCAAGTAAGGTGACAGGATGAATGGCTCTAGTTGCTGTCGCGTTCCAGCGGGCTTGGCTCTCCACAGATGGTAGCTAGTCGCACGTACGCCTCGGTGATCTCTATTTGACAAGGGGTCGAGACAGATTTTTCGCGGCTTTTGCTTACTAGAGAAAAATAAAGTAAGCAGACAACTAACGGCCCGACGTATATCACGCACAAGGCAGGCGCTCATTCTGGCGCTATTCGAATACTGATATACTAACCTTTGTATTATGTTCCTGAGGGCGACACACCCCCGCACCATCAACTACCTCCGTGTTAGCCGAACGCTAACTTTAAGCTTAAATCACCCTGGTAAGGATAGGGGTCCGGTATCCGTTTTTGTATCAGCTGTACGCTTCGCGTTTCGACATTCAATCATGCGCCAGTACGTCTACACAAGGTTTGACACCATCTTCACTAGGCAGCACAGTTGTAGAAGCATTTGTGACATTGGGTGCATTTCAATGATCATGTGCATCGGTTTAGCCTATGTTAATCTATTTAGACAAAGCATCCCGAGTTGCCGCCGTGACTGTGCGTGCGACCTCAAAGTAGCGTCTCCATGTCCTACACATTGAGTAGTCGCATGCGCGGGAAACATGACGTTTCACGCAGTGACGCAGTGACGCTGCGGTAGCTTGTCTTGCGGAAATAGAATAGACGCAACACTATCATTGTTCGTCGCCACCAGGTCCCGGCGCCCGTCCCTGATGAATGGTTAGCATGCGAAATTAGAAAGAGTCTTTGCTTCCTACCATTTGTCGTGCCTTGAGCATCTCATCACACAGCAGCAGGTTGGACGCGATACCAGTAGCAGAAGCTATGCTGTTGCGAATAACCCGGAATGAGTCGTAGACACCTTCTTGAGTAGGGTCCATCGCTTCTCCGGTTGAGAGGTTCAGGCCTACTACGTTGCCCTCGGCATGCTCGTCCTGGAGTGCAGCCACTATCATGTGGTCAGTATGTATCGACAAAATCGAGATTGAAGTACTCACAAGAATCTTGAATGTCGTGACCTGAGTTCGCCGCAAGCGTCTTGGGAATAACGAGCAATGCATCAGCAAATGCTGAAACACCCCACTTTGCTTTACCCTTGACTGTCTTCTTGAACTGTTCGCTGTTTAGGCGAGCTGCACATGCGACCTGGAAAGCACCGCCTCCGGGTACGACGCTTCCGTCGACTATCATGTTGTACACACTCCTCAAACCGTCGCGAACAGCATCCTTGATCTGGGCAATAGTGTGCGAGTTTGGTCCCTTGATGAGTAATGTGACCGACTTTGGCTCCTTGACATCTTCCTATTTCTTATTAGTACATGCATTTGAAAACCATTGTGCTTACTTACGATGAAGGTGTACTTCTCCTCGCCCAGCTGGTGCTCGTAGACAAGACCTGCCCAGCCGAGGACGTCAGGAGTCATGTCGTCTACGCTGTTTTGCGACGTTCCACCGCATACGAGTTGCAGACGCTCCATATTCCTCCTCTTCGCCCTCCTTAGCGCGAAGATGCCGTTCTTGACAAGTACGTCCAAGCTGAGAGGGTCAATGCCCTTTTGGTTTATTATCACGAAGCCCTTCTTGGGATCGTCACCGCAAACCTCCTTCTTGAGCTCAACAATCTTCCTCAGCTTTTCATCAACGAACCGGCGCTCGCTCTCGACCAGCTTCTCTCGCTGTTCAGCGCTTGAGTAGTAGAAGCCAGAGTTGATCTCGGACTTTTCGTACTCTAAGCTGACGTTGAGGGTCAGGATGTATGCGTTCTCGACACGCTTGGCCATGTCTGGATGCCTTGCGCCGTGGTCTAGAGCAAGCCCACGGATAAGCTGTGTATCGGCAGCAGTGCGGTGTTGCATGGTCATGATCTCAACCATGTGTAGATCAGGCTTCGCGGGCGCCTGGTAGATGGCGAGGACGGCATCGACGATGTCGGGGGTCAATTGTTCTGCGAGTGAGCTGTTGATCTTTGTTGACAACGACGTTCGGGCGACTGAGAGGAGGAGTTCGCGGTCGACTTCCTTTGCGAGCTTGAATTCGTCCAGGAACTATGCATTGTCAGCAAACCTTCGTTATATTTGGCCTTGTGCCACTGTACCTTTAGCGACTCTGTCTTCGCGATGTCATAGCCGTCTGCGATGACTCGGGGGTGGAGACCTTCAGAAATATAGCGATCAGCCTGCTTCAGGAGCTCGCCCACCAAGAGTACCACAGAGGTTGTGCCGTCGCCAGTGATCTCGTCTTGTGCTGTTGCTGCGCGCGCAATCATAACCTGGTTTGTTTGAGTCGCGATCCAGAAGCGGATGGGGATATATCATACGGCAGTGGGGTTTTGGATTTGCTGTCTGACTGTTAGCTTGCGAAGGTACTCGTGGAGGTTTGATCAATCACATACCATTTCCTTGAGCAGAACGCTTCCATCTTTTGTGAGCTTGATCTAAAGCAATGGTCAATACATGTCTTATACGCTCGGTTTGCAAACATACTCCACCAGCGCCATCGACAAGCCTGTTCGACGTTAGTGTCTGGTCCCATATATTTGTTGTTGTTGTTGTTGCTCACATCTTCAGTGTACCGCGGGGTCCCAGATTTGAAGCAAGTACCTTTTCCACACATTAGAACGTCTCTCTTTTCCTATTGCAACCATTGAATACCTGTTGCAGTCCCTCTCCGGCCGAGATGTTAACACGGAGAGCTTCCCCGCGCCTCTGTGCATTTGTTAGCGGCGTCTTTGTACGGCGGCGGAACCACATACCCTCGACTCGGCCTTGGGATTGAGAAGTTGTGCGGCCGACATGATGAACAGACGATATTCGGGTATCAAACAAAGCAGCAATCAGCAAAATGCAATATGGCGGGGCAAAGCTGCTGTTTCCGCGTTGCCTGTCGCGTCCCTCCTCAGATTTCTTAGCGGGCCCTAGTGCCAAGATTGCGAGAGCTCGGGCCTCCGAGCAATAATCTTTTTCGCATAGCTTTGGACTTTGCACGACCGCGATCACCTCGACAGCCGCATTGCCCGCGCACCTCGTACCTTGATCCAGCTTGTCGCGCTCGCTATCCGCTGTTTTTGCGCTGAATTCATCTAACGCAATTATGAGTGTAGATTATCTGCTCCATGAGAGCCCTGTCGGCTATGCCGTCTTCAAGGTTTCTATCCAGCCAGACACCATTGGCAGTCGCCTCGCAGAAGTACAAAAGGCTGTACAAGACCTCGACAAGTTCGGAAAGACTGTAGAGCTCGTCGGTCTTGCGCCCTTCCAAGGCACTCAAGATGCGCTCGCCGAAATCAACGACGTCTCCGAGGGCATCATGTCCGATTTCCTCAAGGCAACGCTCGAGACGAACCTGCCCAAGGCCGGAAAGAAGAAGACAATTACACTTGGTGTGAGCGAGAAGAACCTCGCGGGTAGCATCAAGGCCGCTTTCCCCAACCTCGCCTGCGAAACTAGCGACACGTCCGAGGTCGTGTCTGACTTGCTCCGTGGTCTGCGCCAACACAGCGGCAAGCTGATCAAGCAACTACAGCCTGGCGACATTGACCGCTCTATTCTCGGTCTGGGACACGCCTACTCCCGTGGAAAAGTCAAGTTCAGCGTCCAGAAGCAGGACAACCACATCATCCAAGCAATCGCAACGCTCGACCAGGTCGACAAGGACTTGAACACCTTCTGCATGCGCCTTCGCGAACTGTACGGCTGGCACTTCCCCGAACTCGCCAAGATCTTGAACAGCAACGAACAATACGCCAAGGTGGTTTTGAAGATTGGCGACAAGTCGAAGCTGAGCGACGACGATCTGCACGACCTCGCGGCAGTTGTCGATGATGATGAGAGCGTGGCGCAAGCCATTGTGCGATCAGCAAGAACCTCCATGGGACGTGACCTTTCTGAGGCCGAGTACGTACATTTTGCTTGTGGATGCATGGCTAGACTAACCCTGCCATAGCATGGAGATTGTCATGAACTTCGCCACGAGGACAGCTTCCTTGGCCGCGTACCGTAAGCAGCTCAGCAACTACTTGTCAAGCCGCATGAACCAGGTCGCGCCTAACCTGGCTGCCCTGATTGGCGATATGGTCGGCGCAAGGTTGATTTCCAAGGCTGGTTCCCTAACCAACCTCTCTAAGTACCCTGCGTATGTAGACTCACTGCTTTACATGCCATGCTCTAGAGACTAACTGTCCTAGATCTACTGTCCAGATTCTTGGTGCAGAGAAGGCCCTTTTCCGCGCTCTCAAGACCAAGGGAAACGTAAGTTACTGTTTAGCTTGTGTTCTGAACGTCACTAACTTGATGTACAGACTCCCAAATACGGTTTGATCTACCACAGTTCATTCATTGGCCGCACAGGTCAAAAGTCAAAGGGAAGGATCTCACGTTTCCTCGCCAACAAGTGCTCGATTGCTTCCAGGATCGACAACTTCTCCGAGACTCCCACGTCCAAGTTCGGTGAGGCTCTGAAGCGTCAAGTTGATGAACGCATCGAATTCTACGCATCTGGTGCTCCCCCTTCTAAGAACGCAGCTGTCATGCAAGCCGCAATGAACTCGGTAATGACCGACATTGGCATCGAAGACCCCACTGCAGGCGCTAGTGAGGATGTCGAGATGGCTGATGGAGTAACAGCGGCTGCTACTGAGCAGGCTGTGCGCAAGGAGAAGAAGGACAAGAAGGACAAGAAATCTAAGAAGTCCAAGGACGTCGAGGAGGATGCTTCTGAGAAGAAGTCGAAGAAGGACAAGAAGCGGAAACATGCCGACGAGGAGGTTAGCGACAAGAAGAAGAAGAAGAGCAAGGCGTGATCGCACCCATGAAAACATGTATATGTACTGGCATGCGGTATCGGCGTTCTTGATGTGTCGGAGTTTCCGGAGTTGATTGTACGAGTTCTGGTTTTCAGGCTGGACATGGGCTATGAGTTCGCGCACCATCCACGCCTGGCGGATGGTCTTGCATATATCCTCGAGCTGTGATTTAAGTTACAAAAGCATGATCCTTTCAACCATGTAGGGTATATCACGTGTGTGTGTGTGTGTGTGTGTGTGTGGTCCGGTGACTAGCACAAGCAATTAAGCCCCTAGAGTTGCCACTCGAGGCGATGGATCAGCCTTCAGGAACAAAGGTGAAATGTCAAAGTAGTTTTGTGGTCATATCATTTTTAGGCGTTCCTGGATCTGTATCTCACACCATGATCTTCTCCGACGGAATCAGGGACCCCTGCAGTGATCGGAGCGCACAGACGTCATCAGCCACATGCAGCTCACCTTAAACCGCAGGAACCGTGGGACGACTGATTATCCGTAGACAAGTCCTCATGCAAGAGTGGGGCAGCTGTAGCTGCAATATCTTCACACATGAAAGAGTATACAGCATTAGGGCGTGTAGCATTGAATGCCGACTAGGGCGCCGCGCATTCAAGCCAACAATCAACGTCAGGCGGCTAATGCGCCTGATGGTACGTAGGATGTATGATGTTGCAATGAACAAGATGTCTCTCGCCAGCCTGCACTACGGACCCGGCGAGGTTGAATAATCAATAATAGCAGCAGCATGCAGTCCTAGACCAAGACGACCACGACGGGTGCTAACATGATGAACTGGATGGGGATGCGCGAGGGAGATGGCGATATGTCATGTTTGATACGTCTGAGACCTAACACAGCAGCCGGCATAGACCAGGGTTCATTCACAGGCGCCCCGGGTTCGACAGCTCTGGCGTAAACTGTTTTTCTCTTCTAGGGCTCGTCGTAACCCAAGCTTTGGCCCGCTGCTGTCCCAAATGGCTCGAATGGCTACTTGAAGCCCTGAAGCCCCCGACAAAGACTGAGAAGCTCTTTCGCACTTCCTCCCCTCTCGTTTGCCCTCCATCTCTCCTTCTTTCCTGTACAATTTCTCCGACAAAATCCCCTTTCCATCGATACTGCTCTTGCTGGGCGCGCTGTCATCGATCTGTCGTTAGGGGTCGAAACTTGGTGTTCCTTTCCGTGCATCTACCGTGTCTAGCCTCCTCCCCGGTCCGGCTCTCGGCAGCAAATCGACTTTGGTGTTCTCGCCAGCTATTGCATAGTTTGCTATCCACGCATTTTTGGTGTTGAGCCGGCAATCTCATACTGCCAACTGCCAACATCCGGCCCGCCGTCTGCCTGCGTGCCTGCGTGCCTGCGCCGCCCACAACTCCCACCTCGTCTGGATATTCCGTCGTCGGTTTACTGTTGTTGCCATCTACACGCTCTAGCACGCGCCTCGACTTCCTTCTGGGTGTTGCAGCCGTGTTGTGTTTGGCGCTATGAACGACGATGCATCTTCGCCGGGCAGCCTAAGCTCGCCCCCGCACTCGCCTGAACAGGGCACTCCAGCGTCAACCATACGCGCATCTGCAGGTGGTGTTGGTGTTGGGGCTAGCACCCCAACCCCTGCAACTGCGTCTCCAGCGCCACGCGGTCTAACTGCCCGTGGTGAGCCTCGCAAGAAGCCAGGTCCCAAGCCAAAGAATAAAGATCCAGCCGCGCCCGAGCCAGAGAAGAAGACCAGAAAGCCCCGTAAGTCGGAGCCTAAAGATCCCAATGCCGTGCCTGTGCAACGTAAGAGACGGACCAAGGCCTCGCTCGAGGCACAGGCACAACCAGCACCACAGGTCGTCGAGGAAAAACCGCCTGTGCAGCTGTCGCCCACTCCACAGCCAGGACCCAGTGATTCGGTTCCTGCCTTGAACCCAGAACAGCCGCCTGTTGTCTCACTATCTCGCGTCTTGAGCAACCCAGAGCCGACGCTGCACAGTAACCCAAACCTGTCCCACATGAGTGCTGTCCCCTCAACACCACGGCCATCGAGCTCAGGCCAGCGCTATGATCCTATCAGGGGTGGTATTATAGAGTCGAAGCCTCAAGCCCCGGCAAATGCGCCCCCGCCTGTCTCCCCGCAGATGAATCATCGTGCGAGTGCCTCGCCATCCATTACCAGTCTGATCGATCCGCCGTCTGCTAGCAATTCCTTCTATTCACACCCTGCCAAGCTCCAACAACAAGCGTCAGTCACTTCGGCGCCTGTGTCACCTGCTGCTTTCACCACACGGCCCGCCTCGCTCCTGCCTTCCCAAGACTTCCACTCGCCACACCTTCAACAACATCAACTACAAGCACCCCCTCAGGCACAGCCTTATCCCGCCGCACCGTCAGAGCCAACTCTCATGGACATTGACACTGAGCCTGCCAAGCACGTATCTGTTCCAATGACAAAGTCAACTTCTACCACCTCCGCTACCCACTCGCAATCCAATGCGCCCACTCCACCCGCCAAGGCTGTCCGCCAGAAGGAGGCTCCGCCGCCACTGCCTACCGGTAGTGGACTGTTGTCGGGAACGCCTTTTGGCCCTGTAGCGAACACAAACGGCGCATCAGAGACACAAGGCACCAACATCTACCTCAATTTCGATGTCAACGGACGCGACAATGTTACTATCAACGTCGCCCAGGAGGTCGAGAAGAAGTACGGCTTTGCTGCTCTACATCCCCGTATAGCTGCCCGTAAGGAACGCCAGCGCCAGATCAACGCGGCCGGCGCCGCACTCGAGCGTGCTGCAGGAGGTGGCTCAAATGACGATCAGTCTGTCGATCTGTCTGAGAACGAGAGTAACGTGGAGATGGGAGGCATGGACGATGATGCATCCGCAAAGGAGAACGGGGGCAAGAAGCGACGCAAGCGCAAGCAAGAGGACTACGACAAGGAGGACGACTTCATCGACGATACTGAACTCGCCTGGGAACAGCAAGCGCTGATGGCCAAGGATGGTTTCTTTGTTTACAGTGGCCCCCTCGTCACCGAAGAGAAGCAGACCGTTGAGAGGTACGCGACCATTTTCTCTGGGAATCGACTTGAGCTAACTTTGTGCAGGGCGGATGGCACCATTAGGCGCGGACGAGGACGTGGCCGCGGCGGTACGCTGCGAGGCGAGACGTCAGGTAGAGGCCGAGGACGTGGCGGAGGTCCTGGCTCCCGTGGCGGCTCTACTGTGCGCAAACCTCGCGTTACCAAGGCTGACCGTGCGATGATGGAGCAAGAGAAGGCAGCTAGGGAAACTCTGGCCCAAACTATTGCAACCAAGCAGCCTCTCTCCACTCCAACTCTTGCTGGCCATGCTAGTGCAGTGTAGGTCAGCATTGTCTTGACCTGTTTTCGTTTTGCCCCGGCCCGGTCCCACTTGTTTGGGACTTCAGCAGCGGACAGAGAGGGCAATCCTCAAGCTCGTCAGTGTGCTTTTCTTCTGACAGCGTTTTCTCGATGGGGTTGGGATAACAGCTATCTCTTCATTTTTCGATTCTCCTGTAACTGATTCGTTTTTGTACGATACCCATTAGGGACGCTGCAAAACACCGCCTGACTGACAGGATACAAAGTCGTAAGGCGTTTGGGAGGTGCATGTTGTTTTTAGCAGGCGTCGTTCTTCCGCGATGCATAGTCATCTTCAAGATCTTAGATACGTTAAACCTAGAATTTCTCTGTTGGCTTTCGTGCTGTAATCTGTCCCATGCATTTGTAATTTGGTGACGTATGTGGGAAAGCAAAGCAGGCACTCATTTGTGGGTGTCCGCAGTCGGTGCACATGTAGGACATCAGTGAACTTGTAGGCATTTCTATGGACAATGTGGAGCTATAGATCTCACCTGTGAGGCCTACCCATGATGTAAGTGATCACACCGGCTGTACCGTTTGCTCTTGCTCAAAGCGATGGGTCGCTCTTTCTGCCTCTTTCACTCGCTCCTGCCGGAGCTGAGATAATCCTCGCTCACTTGAGTGTCAGCTATTGTTTGCTTGTATCTCACTTGGGCATTCAATCTAGTATGAAATCTTCAACTTACACTAATTAACAGTACTTACAATCTTTGTCTAGCTGGACCGTAGCTTCGTATTGAGTCGGTACTATGACCAGCCTTATCTCACAAACCACGCCATTGCCGGCTGATCTGGCCATCAGCGAGTACTCGCGTAAATTCTACGACGGGACTTACAAATGGACAGCGGAAGGCTTTACCGACGAGAATGGAGGCAAGTGGAACTCGGGGTCAGCATGCGACTGCCGTATTAACGTGTGCAGTATATCGCGACTTCGACTGCTATGACCCTGCCGCTAGAGCTCCGACGCCCTTGCCGCCGATGGATCTGGGCGACTATGACGAAGAAATGGAGAATGCGGATAGTCAGGGCAGCACGCTACCTATCCCTCCGCTGGACAAGATGAGCACTCCTTCCGCGGACCAGAGTCAAAGGAGGGACTCGTTGATCGGCTATAAGGCAGGCCAAATCAAGCTTGCAAGCTCATCGCCGCTTTCAGACTGCCCATCAGATATCTCGGAAGAAAACCCAGTAAGTATTCAGAGCGAGTGGCAAATCACCACTCTGTCTGTATCGCTGTATGGAGTCAGTATATCTGACCCTTCTAGAAATCCATCGAAGGAGCTACGGCAGTAAAGAAGACGAGCCCCGGAGAATCTCAGCAAGCAAGAAGCGAAACGCCAGAGCATAAATCCACCACTCGAGGTGTTGCACAGATAGTCAAGAAGACCGCTAAGAGGCCAGCAAAGCAAGCCAAAAAGTCTTCTGCACCTGTGAAGTCTTCGCAGACGGGTAGCTATACGCAGGGCTCGGGGAGTTCATCGAGACGACGGTCGGCGAGGAAGGCAAACACGCAGGGTACACGGCCTTGAGTAGGTTTGTACGTCCTGATGAGTTCTATGCCGGCTGTCTGGGCGGTTTTGATGTTTTGGTTAGCCTAGTACAGACATGAACGACAGGAAGTGGTTTATCTGATTTGCTGGTAAAACTACGTTGGTTTGGTTTGGAGTATTGCGGCATAAGTATCTGGGCGTTGGTTGAGCGGTAGAAGGGATGCTCTGAGTACCGACTCTCATTGGTATCAAAAGGCGTTATTTTCTCTCGTCAATAAGGGTGATCAAATCCAGACTCATTAGATTCTGATCATCTAGAACATTGCTATACTATTCAACTCCTAAAAGTCCAACAAGACAAACCCCATCACCGCCCCAGGAACAAATCTCCACACCTCTTCGTTTCATCATGCTCATGGTAAAGCAAACATCTCGCTCCCCTCCACGGCTTACAAGCCTCCCACTTTCTTACCCTTCTCGTCCTCCCGTCCCTAGTTGCCCCACCCTCCGTATCTCCATTCTCCTCTTTTTCGCCGTCCTCCCCATCCAACCGACTCCTCCCCTCATCCCATCCCGCCATGGCCACACCCCCTTCAACACACCTCGTACAAAACGCCACACAGCAATCCTCACACGCCACGGCCCCAACCCGCGGCGGCAGCACCGCGCGACAATGCTCACAAGCACGCGTGGTATGCCAACTCTCCGGACACCACAACCTCAACCTATGCCTCCCGAGCGCCTGCCCACATGGCCGCTTCAACAAAACACTCAAGTCGCGGAGAAACTCTGCATGCCACCAATCCCCGTGCATCTCCAGTAGCCGATCCGTCTTCTTAAACGCAAAAAGGTCCAGCACGAGGCGTCGCAGTGGCGCAGAGTCTCGGATACCGCCGTATAAGATGCGTGTATCAGAGGGGGTTAAAACGCTATTCGTGCGGTCTGATAAATCACTCATCATGTCTAGGACGGCGTTGCGTAGACCCTCGAGTGCAAAACGGTCTGCGAGGACGTACACGTGGAGGAGCGTGTAGTATGCTGGTTTGCCGTCCTTGAACGGCGCAGTCAGAATACCGTTGTAGAGCCATGATATGACGAGTTGGAAATGATCGACTGATACATCGTCGAGCGTAATAGTGTTCGCGGTAGATTCAGCAAAGGGCCCTGTGAGCGCGACGCGGAAGTACGAAGATTGTGCTGTTAAAAGCCTGGTGTGAATGAGGAAGGGTGTTGATTTGGGTCCGATAAGAAGTTTACTGGTAGCGGTGAGTTCGGATGGATCGGTCGGCCTGGTCAGATATGAGTCTGGGCTCGTGGTCTTGGTTGTCGTTGATGTTGATCGACGGTGGTGGGCGCGTGGTAGGAAGGATGTCGTCTCCTCCCTTGCATGCAACACGTACCTTGACTGCCCGGCCCATGTACCTGAGGTATAAGGCGGCGGGAGATTCGGGGTTGGAATGCGAGTCGAGGAGTCGATGCCGACGATGCTGCGTGGTATAATGGTGCGCATCTCTTTCTGTCTTCTTCTCCCCACTCTTGCTTCGTCCAGTCTACTACTACGTTCTATCTTCCGTCCCTTGTTGGAAAAACGAGTCAAAAAGTTGCGAAAAGCGTTTATCAAAGGAGGTACCTCGATCTTTGAGGGTGTATACCGGGGACCCAACCGCATGCGGGGCTGTCGTTGAGAAGTGTCAAGAATGCGGTTTCGGAATGCATGCTTTACTGTATCCGCCAGGCGGGAACAAACGGGGCTTGATCGAGCGGACAATCGCCTTGTAGATGCGTGCAGGACGGATGTTGGCTTGTTCTCCGCCAATGCTAGGGTAGCAAACGCACCGTCCGCAAGCGTTCTTTGTTGTCTCGACACGACACAGCACGGGGCGGACAGAGCAGACATTGTTTGAGATGCAGGCTCAGAAACGTTTCATTCGAT